TTTTTTTTTTTTTTTTTTAAGTTTATTTTGAGAGAGAGAGAGAGCATGAGCAGGGAAGGGGCAGGGAGAGGGTGAGAGTCCCAGACACTCTCTGCGCTGTCAACACGGAGCCTGACTTGGGGCTTGACCTCCCAACCATGAGCTCATGACCCGAGGGGAAATCCAGATTCGCACTTGAGTGACTGAACCGCCAGGCACCCAGTGTCCTTCCTAATCTTGAAGGTCTTCCTCAAAAGCCAGATTTTCTTGGAGACAGAGCTCTGTAGACGGATGCGCGTGGCCCCTGCATTCATTTCTCCTGGGGGCACCGCAAGGCGGGGCTGTGGTCCCTCCCTCCGAAGGCAGGTAGGAGAGCAGATTCCGTCACCCCCTCCTTGAATCCAAGCGCGCTCTCCCTGAGCTCCCACAGCTGGCTCACCTCCTGGTGTCTTGCTTGAGCAGAGCTGAGAGGTGAGGAACGCTGGCTTTGGGTGTTAGTTTTGGCAGTGACCTAGGGTCAGCCTCTGGGATTTCGTCTCAACCAGGACATCATAGTACAGCTTTCCAAGTCTTAATGTTTAACCATTTTTTGGAGATGGAGAAAACCGCAAGCAGGCTCCACACCATCATCCACACCGTCAGTGCGGAGTCTGATGTGGGGCTCAAACTCAGACCTGCAAGATCGTGACCTGAGCCAAAGTCAAGAGTCAGAGTCTTGACCGACCGAGCCAGCCAGGCGCCCCGAAAGGAGCACATTCTGAAACGTGGCTTGGGTTCACACGACAGCCCCCTGGGCCAGGTGTGTGGCTCTCTCCCTGCCAGCAGAAGCCTGAGGCAGGTGACGAGTCCCAGCCAGGCGAGGGACGTCGGAGGAGAATGTAGTAGAGGTCCCAGCAGCTCTCAGTGAGGGTGAGAGGTGACCCTAGGACTGCAGTCCCTGCAGGTTTGTGTGACGGTAGCTCTCCAGGAGCCCCTCACAGTGCTAAGTCTTCCTTATGCAGCTTTGCAGTTGATGAAGTTAAAATAAAATAATAGGGGCACCTGGACAGCTCAGTCAGCTGAGCATCTCACTCTTGATTTCAGTTCAAGTCATGATCCCAGGGTCATGGGTTTAAGCCCCATGTTGGGCTTTACACTGAGTGTGTAGCCTCTTTGGCCTCCTTGGCATTTTCTCTCTTTCCTCTGCCCCTCCCTGCTCATACCCTTTGTCTCTAAAAAAAAAACAAAAAAAACCCAAAACACAAATAAATAAAAAAAGGGATGCCTGGGTGGCTCAGTCGGTTAAGTGTCCAAGTTCAGCTCAAGTCATGATCTCACAGTTTGTGAGTTCAAGCCCTGCGTCGGGCTCTGTGCTGACACCTCAGAGCCTGGAGCCTGTTTCCGATTTCTGTTTCTCCCTCTCTGCTCCTCCCTGCTCATTCTTTCTCTTTTAAAAAAATAAAATAATAGACACTGCACATACACAAAAAGGCTCCCTTGTGGTCGAGCCCATGTGACCCAGCCATTCCCTCTCACTGGTGACCTAAATCCTTGTGGTTCGCAAGTGCTTTTTCCCTGCGTCATCCTGTAGTCCTCATCCTGCAGATGAGGAGACCTGAGGTTGATGAGGCCCACGTTTCCTCTCTTTCAGTCCTGCAAGAGCCTGCTGTTCTCCAAGATGCAAGTCTGAAGGACCCGCAGCAGGTGACTGCCCTGCAGCTGCCCCCGGTGAGTGAGTGTGCGTGGCCGTGGCAGAGCCCGACCTCTGCATACCAACTGTGATGGTCGGGTTTCTCTGTGTGAAGAAAGGGAGGCCACTCTCTCATACTCCGCAGGGTATATTTTATACGGTGATAACCACAGTAATTCTATTGCAGAAATGCTAGGAAATGGAGGGAAAGAGCAGAGATCGGGTCAGTACCGAATACCGAATGCAGGCAGGCGTGTTCTTGGGGAGTTCCCTGGGCCTTACCCTCTGTTGTGATTCTGCACAAGGCCGTGCAAAGCTTACCTTGTTGGGCGTCCCTGTGGGTAGGAGAGTTGGTCCAATGGGGGGGGGGGGTCTCAGGTACTTCCTTCCAGCCCCATTGCCTCTGGCCACACTTTCTCATCACACCGCTTCATGTCTCTCTGTAACGCTTTCCGCGGGCTGGCATGCGACTTGGGTATTGCAGTCCCATCTGGCTGCACGAGAAAGTGGGTGACGTGAAGGCGTGGACCTTATCTGGTGGTTGTTCCTCGCAGATGGAGGACCATCTGAAGGACGGTAGGCACACGGTAATCCCGTCCCAAGGTTGCGCTCAGCACAGTGCATTCAGACAACCCGAAGCCTGGGTCTGTGGTACCCAGCAGGTGGGGTGGGGCGTCTCCTTCCCCAAGAGCTGTGTCTGCGGGCTCTGTGTTCACACGTGTCCATATCTCCCATGTAGTGTGCTGGCTGCTGAATACAAGCGTGAGCCCGGGGAGGGAAAGCTCTGGTTTCTTAATAAAGATTGATACTTTTGGGGCGCCCGGGTGGCTCAGTCAGTTAAGCATCCGACTTCGGCTCAGGTCATGGTCTCGTGGTTCATGGGTTCTAGCCCTGCGTCAGGCTCTATGCTGACAGTTCAGAGCCCGGAGCCTGCTTCAGATTCTGTGTTTCCCTCTCTCTCTCTGCCCTTCTCCCTCTCTCTCTCGAAAATAAATAAACATGTAAAAATTTAAAGAAAAAGAACTTATTTAAAGATTGATACTTTTGACCAGTGTGACACACAGAGGTGCTGGGACCTTCGTATATAGTGAGCCTTGGTACTCATCTTTGACTTTCTCCACGTTCCTGCAAAGGCCACAGTGAACAGGAGACAGTTTTTGGTAACTCTGCTCAGTGCAGTGAAAGTCCCCATCTCAAAAGTCTTTATTTCTCAGTCTAACATTCTTAAAAATTTATTTATATTTCTTTTTAAGTTTATTTATTTTGAGAGAGAGAGAGAGAGAGTGTAAGGGAGAGGCAGAGAGAATCCCAAGCAGGCTCCATGCTGTCAGCACAGAGTCTGACATGTTGCTCGAACTCAGGAACCATGAGACATGATCTGAGCAAAAATTAAGAGTAGGATGCTTAACCAACTGAGCCCCCCAGGTGCCACACATTTTTTTTCTTATCCCCCCCCTTTTTTTTTTTAAGTTTATTTTAAGAGAGACAGAGACAGTATGAGCAGGAGAGGTGCAGAGAGACAGCAAGAGAGAAAATCCCGAGCAGGCTCCATGCTATCAGCACAGAACCCCATGCGGGGCCCGTATTCACAAAATCATGACATCAAGACCTGAGCCTAAACCAAGAGTCGGACGCCTAACCCACTGAGCATCAAAGGCGCCCCTCATTTTCAATTGTCGTAAATTACATGTTACATAAAATTTACCATCTTAACTATTTTTATGTGTAGTAGTATTTGTAAGTGTTCAGTGATATTATGTATTTCACAGTGTCATGCAGCCTGTCTCCAGAACTTTCTCATCTTCCCAAAGTGAAACTCCTCACTGGTTCAGGGAATAGCTCTGTCCCCAGAGAAATGACCGTTGTACTTTCTCTATGAACCCGGCTACCTTACCTAGCTTGTGTAAGTGGAATTGCACCTTTGTGACTGGTTTACTTCATGTAGGGTAGTGTCTTCAGGGTCCATCCATACTGTGTCCTGAACAGGACTTCCTTCCTTTGTGAGGCTGATAATATTCCGTAGTGTGTGTATGATCACGTTGTTTATTCACGTGTTGGTGGACCCTTGGTTTATCTCCACCTGTTGGCTCTCTTGAGTAATGCTGCTGTGAACAGGGGTACACGGAACATTTATTTTTGATCTTTTTTCTTTGGATAACTGTACGTTCATAGGCAGTTGTAAGAAATAGCAGAGATCTCTTGTTCTCTTTACGCTGAACAGTAAGTCTTGTGGAAACACAGCCCCAGATCACAGCCTGTGCACTGGCATTGATACACACATGATACAGAACATTTGCATCACCACAACCATCCCTCCTGTTGCCTTTTATAGCGAACCCACGGCTCCTTTGCGCCGTCTTCTCATTGGCCAACTAACTTCATGGACATTGTGTAGGTGGCCCCCTGTGTCTGGGGATTGACTGTCTTCGGTCAGCACGGTCTGAGGAGCTGTGAGTGGGACTCCATGGTCCAGATACGCCACAGTGTTTTTGCCCTTGCACTTGTTGAACAGCCTCTGGTTGTTTCCAGTTTGGGGCCATTCTGCATAAAGCTGTTATACGTATTTGTGTAAGGTTTTTATGTGAGCGTCACTATGTGTCTCTGGGGTAAATGCCCAGGTACATGGTCCCTGGGTTGTGTGCTAAGTGCAAATTTAGTTCTTTTTTCCGGAGAGGCTGTTCAGCATCACATTCCCATGAGCAGTGTGTGAGTGACCTCCATTCTCACATCCTTATCGCCACCGTTCACTGTTTGCGCTCTGTTTTATTTTAGCCATTCGGAGGGGTGTGCTGTGATGTCTCCTTTTGGCTTACCTTTTCATTCCCTGAGGGCTGATGATTGGGCACCTTTTCCTATGTGTTGTCTGGGCATCCATATATCTATTGTCTTCCATGAAATATCTCCTCACAACTTTTACTCATGTGCTGATTGGAGCATGGACATTTTTACTCTTACTTTGAGAGCTCCTTATATATTTGCCCTTTGTTGGATATGTGCTTGTGTTTTGTTTTGGTTTTGGATATGTGCTTTTTGTAAACGTTTCTTCTTGTGCTGGAGCTTGACTTTCCTTCCCTTTAACAGGGTCTTCCCCTCCAACCAAAGTTTCATTCATTTTATTTTACTGTATTTTATCTTTATTTTATTTATTTTTTAATTAAAGTATAGTTGATTTAGTCTGATTTGTCAGTTTTTCCTATTAAGGATCATGCTTTTGTTGTGAAGTCTAAGTTTAAATTTTAAGTCTGTGATTGATTTAATCCATGATCTATGATCCAATTGGATTTCAGTCCATGATGTCTAAGTTTTTATTTATTTTTTAAAATTTATTTATTTTGAGAGAGAGCCAGGGAGGTAAAGAGAGGGAGAGAAGAGTCTAAGCAGTTTCCACACTGCCAGCGCAGAGCCTGATGTGGGGCTCCATGCCACAAACCTCGAGATCATTACCTGAGCTGAAGTGAAGAGTTGGACACTCACTCATCTGACTGAGCCACCCAGGTGCCCCTATTATCTCTACCTGTTAAATAAGTTTTGAGACTTTGGTTGTGGTATATTCATTTGTGTCAGTGGATGTCTGGTTGTTCTAGCCCCATTTGTTGGAAAGGTTTTGGGGGCTCCTGTGTGGCTAGGTGGGTTTAGTGTTTGACTCTTGACTTCGACCCAGGTCATGATCTCACAGTTCTCTCTCTCTATCTCTCTCTTCCCCTCCCCTGCTCTCTCTCTCGCTTTCAAAATAAATAAACATTAAAAAAAAAAAGATTTTCTTCTCTCCGTTGAATTACTTTTGCTCCTTGGTCAAACATCAGTTGAGGGGTGCCTGGGTGGCCCAGTTGGTTGAGTGCCTGACTTCTGATTTTGGCTCAGGTCATGATCCCAGGGCCTGAGATCAATCCCCACATTCATGCTGGGGGTGGAGCCTGCTTAAGATTGTTTCTCTCTCCGTCTGCCCCAGTTCTTGCATGCGCACACTTGTACTTTTTTTCTCTCTCTCTCTCTTTAAAAAAAGCAAAAACTCCCTTGGGCATATTTCTGTAGGTCTGTTCCTGGGTGCTTTCCTGTGTGTTATTGACCTAGTTCTCTCTATAATACTACACAGCTTTTTTTTTTTTTAATTTTTAAATGTTTTTTATTTATTTCTGAGAGAGAGAGAGAGATAGTGTGAGCAGGGGAAGGTCAGAGAGAGAGGGAGATACAGAATCTGAAACAGTCTCCAGGCTCTGAGCTAGCTGTCAGCACAGAGCCCGACACAGGGCTTGAACCCATGAACCATGAGATCATGAACTGAGATGTCAGACTCTTAACTGACTGAGCCACCCAGGTGCCCCTAATACTACACAGCTTTGCTGCAGCTATTTACTAAGACTTCAAAGTGAGGACCCTATTGCTCCCATTGTGTTGTTTTTAAAAGTTTCTTTAGCTGTTTTTGTCCCTTTGCCTTTCTCTGTAAGTTTTAGAGTAATCTTGTCCATATCTACAAAGAGTCTTTGGAAATTTCGATAGGGATTTTGTTGAGCCTGTGTATGAGTTTGGGGAGCACTGACATTTTTACCCTGCTGAATCATTCTGTTTGTGAATGTGGAATGCCTCTCCATTTACTTATTTCTTTCTCTGTTTTGTTTTGGCTTTTTCTTTTTAAGATTTTTTATTTTATTTTTTCATAAGTAATCTTTATACCCAGTGTGGGGCTGGAACTCAAAACCCTGAGATCAAGACTTGCACATTTCCCCGATTGAGTCAGTGGGCGCCCCCCCCATTTACTTAACTTCTTTGATTTCTTTCATCAGTGCTGTGTAGTCCTCAGCTTGTAAATCCTGTACATGTTTTGTTAAATTTACAAATTTACTTCATTTTTTGAGCAATTATAAATGATAATATCATTTTTTTAGTATTTTGATTTCTAGTATAAGACATGTAGTGAAAGGGTGCCTGGGTGGCTTAGTCGGTTAAGTGTCGTACTCTGGATTTCGGCTCAGGTCATGATCACACAGTCGTGAGTTTGAGCCCTGCATCAGGCTCTGTGCAGACAGTGTAGAGCTTCCTT